TTCAAGTATATAAAAATATGTGGTAATCATGATTCCCCATTAGGTGGCCTTGAAGCCTTATAAAGTTTTCACTCATTAATTAGAAAGTTATTCTGGGCTTCTTGATATGAAAATATTTGAAGCTAGAGTATATGAAGTTTTATCCAAATATTTCAAGGAAAAAGACACTATGGTAACTACTATTAAGTCAGGTTATAAGGTGGTGAAGTACTAGGTTGCTGAAACAGTCATGCTGTGACCTCTATTGTTATATTGTTATGTCCTGTTTTATCTCAATCTCCCCCTTATTGTTTCAAAAAAAATTATTTAGTCATTTCTTATGTTTGTCTTAATTAAAGAAAAAATTCAAAAAAATTAGGATATATAAATAGTAACTCTTTTTGATTTCCTATTAACTTGTTTTGAAGTCCTGTAGTACTCCCACGATCTTGTTTTGACTGATTAGACTCTGTTCCATTCTATATGATAGTATCAAGTTTGAAGACATAGGCAACTACTTTGAAGACAATAAGATTCACTAAGATACCCATTCTGGTTTGACTACTGTCTTCTTTGGAAGTCCTGTAATGTTTACAATGCCTAAGTTTTATTGGTCTTGTTCTCTACTGTTTTGTCCAACTTTATAATATCTAATGAGATATACAATTCTTTTTAAGGAAACAAGGGACAACATTGATAACCATTGTTGATAAACTTGTACTCTGTTCTACACCATGTGCTATGTCTATCCTTGGTATTGACTGACAGCTTTGTTTTGCCATATTTGACTGTATTCTCCCCCCCCAAAGAAAGTAATAAGCACTAAGGAGTAATAAAATCCAAGATGTGTAAATTTTGTTGTAAAAAAGAGAGGGAAAAAAAAAGAAAAATAGCTCTAACGGATATAACAACAAGTGTGTTTGGGGGTGTTAAATACCTGACTTTATCAATGTTTTTGGAACATTGAACACAGCTGTTTGCAGTCTCCCTGTTTGAATGTCCACCTTGTGTTCTTTGATACTGTGATTTGAGGAACTATTTTCAAGAAGATAGTGTGTAATCTACTAGCAGGTGATTTCTTACTGTTATGTTTTTTTGTTTTGTTTTGTTTTGTTTTGTTTTGTTTTGTTTTGTTTGTAGTTCTGTATTGCCTGTACCCTTACGCCGCTTTGGTTTGTTTTGTGTTTTTCTCTTTTTCCTCTTAAATAAAAAAAAAATTGAAGGGAAGCAATTCTTCCTAATTCATTCCTGGAAGGAAGTATTACACTAACACCAAAATCAGAGAAAGACCAAACAAAAAAGAGAACCACATGCCAATCTCCCTAATGAACACAGATGCAAAAATTCTCAGTCAATTATTGGCAAACAGAATGCAGCAAACCATCAAGAATAGTTTACACCACGAAAAAGTGGGATTCATCCCAGGAATTCAGGGATGGTTCAACATACACAAATCAATAAATGTAATCCACCATATCAATAGAATCAAAAATAAAAATGATATGATCATTTCTATAGCTGCAGAAACTTTTGATAAGATCCAACACTCAGTCATGATAACAATATTACACAAAATTGGAATACATGGTCCTTACCTCAATATGATAAAAGCCATCTATGACAAACCAATATCCAGCGTCATACTAAAAGGCCAAAAATTGAAAGCCTTTACTCTAAAATCAGGTGAAAGACAAGGATGTACATCCTCACCTCTCCTATTCAAAACAATGCTAGAAATACTAGCCAGAGAGTTAGACAAGAGAGAGAAATAAAATGACTAAGGATTGGAAAAGAACAAGTTAAAGAATCATTATTTGTAGATGACATGGTACACTATATAGAAGGCCGCCAAAATTCCATTGAAAGACTCCAAGGTATAATAAATAAATTTAGTAACATAGCTGGATACAATGCCAACACTCAAAAATCAATACATTCCCATACACAGACAACAAACTCACTGAGAGAGAAATAAGAGAAGCCAGAAATGGGGGAAAATCTTAGTGAACTTTCCTTCAGACAAAGAACATTTGTCTAGAAAATATAAAAAGTTTTATAAAAATGAGACTCCTAAAATTCAAAGGCCCAATCCAAAAATGGGCATCTGAGATGGATGCACAGTTCTCAGATGAAGAAATGGCAATAAATGACAAAAAGGCAACAAATGGAAAATAAATACATGAAAAAATGTTCAGCATCATTGCTCATTAGAGAAATATGCAAATTAAAAGCACCCTGAGAATCCATCTCACTGTAGAAAGAATGGCCAGGATCAAGAAAACTACCAAGAACAAATGCTATAGAGGCTTGGGGGAGGGGAGAGGAAATCCCTGCACTGTTGGTGGGAGTTCAGACTGGTGCAGCCACTGTGGAGGTCAGTCTGGGGGTTCCTCAAAGATCTGGGATTGGAAATCCCATTTGACCCATCTATTCCACTTCTGGGCATATTCCCAGAAGAACTGAAAACATCATACCACTGTGATATATGTGCACTCTTGTTTATAGCAGCACAATTTCTAACCACCAGGTCTTGGAAACAACCCAAGTGCCCATCAACTGAGCAATGGATAAAACAATGTGGTATTTTATATGATGGAGTACTACTCAGCCATAAAGAATGACCACATGGAGATATTTATTATGAGTAATTGGATACAACTTGAGAACGTACTCATAAGTGAAATGGATCAATCTCACATGTGTAAATACTGTATAGTCTCCCTAGTGTAAGAAATGGTAAGAGTACATAAGACAAAATACAGTGAAAGGATAAGAATCTGCATACAGGGAAAAAATAATGTCTCAGGGAAAGTGAGGAAAAAGAAAAAGGAAGGAAAAATCAAAAGTATCTAAAATTATATAAATACACAGGATACCTAAAATGATTGTACTACAAATTCTGTAAGTTCTTGGAAAAAAGTTAGCATTTTTAGATTGGAACAATTGTGCACCTTATTGTATGGTGATCTGAGAAACTCTTGAAGATCAGTGTGTAAAATAACAGCCCTAGTTATGCTCCTACCACCTTGTTTGGAAGGCCTATATCATCAGTTATTTGCACTCTGCTACTGTTATTTGTCTTTTTTTGTTTTGGGTTTTTCTACAAATTTGTTTTGTTTTGTTTTGTTTTGTTTTTTATTTGATATAGAAAACATAGGTATACATGTAGACACTCATACATGAATAGAACTTCTCCTAAATAGTTTATGAGAAGTGATTCTATAATGCATAATGGAATGAACAGCTACTTTGAAGCAAAAGAGACACTATGTATCCAGTGCTGATTCCATAGCATCATGATGTGAAATCCAGCAGTACTATTATCCTTTATTCAGACTGACTTGAGTCTGTTTTGTACTGTTTAATTTCAAAATACAAAAGGTATGCATAGCTCTTTTGGAGATAACAAGACAAATTATGGAAGCCATTGTTGATTTCCCTATTGTCTGGTTTTCAAGGCCAATGCCTTCATCATTATGTTCTAACCACTATTTTTTTGTGTATGAATTAATTATATGTGAAAATATGGGCAACTATTCAGAAGAAAACAAGAGGCCTTTTGGTACACAGTGATAATATCCTGTTGTCTTGCTTTGAAATTAGTGTGACATACATTGTTTTCCTCTGATCTGATTTGTTATGATTAGTTTACCCTTTTTAAAATAAAATTTTTTTAAAAAACTATGCTTTTTCTCCTGCCCAGACTCACTCACAGTTGGAAATATTTCATACACTAGTGCCTCATATAGAGAAGGAACTGTATGTTGATGAGGGGAACACGTCTAAAATCTATGTGAAAAAAGTACTCATCCGTAAAGCACAGCCTAATACTCACTGACACTCCACATAACTTTGACTTCTACCCTACTTTCATACAGTATGGCTAATACACTTGTGCTGACCCATACTCCTGAGGGCACAGACTACTCTATCTCCACCCAGACAGTCATGCGAACTTCACTGCAAAGTATACTGCATCTCAGTTTTCTTCTAAAAAATTTATAAAACGTTAGATGTAATTGCTCTTTAGGCTTACGTGAGAATCTTAATTAGAACAGCACCATGGACATAGCACTTGATAAATGTTAACTGCTACCCTTCTTATCAAACCAGGACCTTGGAGCCCCATTTTATGATTCTTCAATTTTGTAGGATAAACTTATGCCTTATGAGTTATAAAAGAAAAGAAATACCAAGAACTGCTGATGTGAAAGGGACAAACAGAGGGAAGAAATAAAAAGTTGGACAGAGAGGAGGGGACAGTTCATTCCCTATTTGAAATGTAGATTTGAGGAATCCTGAGTGTCATTCAAGATACATAGCCAGAAATATTTATTGAGAGTTATATCAAAGCTTCAAGTTACAGGCAAAAATGAACATTTGCTTGAAAGAGGTTAGAAAAGCATTTCTGTGCAGAAACAGTCAAAAATTTGAATACAACTAAGTTCCATGAGAAAATAAAAGCTGTACCACTCAGGGAGGCTGAGTTGCCTATGGAACTAGTCACTTACTAACTGGTGCCTTCTATAAAGTCTTATACACTGGAGCACCAGTAAAGTTAGAAAAGCCATGTCCTAAAAATGGGAACAGGCATCCTAAACCCTGTGTGTGAAAGACTGAGCATCCCAGGTGGGGCAGTGTGTTTTGATTCAAGTTCTGGGTGACAGTTGGGCGGGTGTGTGGGTGGAACCCGAGTTGTGATTGGCTGCTGGTAACCAGGTAACCACAGGATGCATTCCAGTTGGCTGGTGCCAGCCAGGTGCTTTCAGTTAGTAGGAGGTGGCTGAAGGAAGGAAAGCACTGACCTAAACTCTGGCAGTGGCTTTGCTTCTCAGCACTTTTGGGATCTCTACCCTTTCTGGATGACGGAGGACGAATCATCTTAGCGGTGTTGGGAAAAGGTGGTCAAGGGTGGGGCCTGCCTGCTGGACAGAGATGAAAGTGAAGGGACAGCAGGAGAGCCCTTCTCTGCATTGTTGAGCTGGTCAATTGGGGGCTGAGTAAAGGTGCAGTGACACCCTATGGGGAACATTCTGACCTGTTGCGTGGCCCCCAATTGTGGCCAGCGCAAACGCAAAGGGTCAGTGGAGTCAGACTGCGATTCTGAGGTCTATGGAGATGCGGGGCCACAAGTAACTGCTCCCCGCAAGACCAAGAAGTTTTCAAAGGGAGCCAGGGATGGCCACCACCGGGAATATATCCATTACTGGAAGATGCCCAAAGGTAGGCAGGGGCAGACTTGGGGACACTGTCTGGCCTTAGGTGAAGCTTTCACACCCTTGGTGGCTTTGAATACTTTCTTTCAAGAGTTGGCTTTATTGGGGCTGGGCACTGATGGCAAGGATTTCACTCCAACCGTGCCTTGCTTTCCTACACTTATTTCTGTTCTGTCCTGTGAGGCCACTGTCTTTCCATCCCCTATCAACCAAGTTCTTGGCCCTACTCACTCCTCAATCCTATTATGGACCCTTTCTGTTAGTAGCACTCTCTCTTGTCCTGTGGAACTTTATTAGGACTTTTTAGTATATTCATTCCCTTTTCTTAGAGTTCAGATACGTTTACATTTACCTCTCCTTACCTAGATTGCTGCCAAAGTCAATGAGACAAGTAAGACCTGATTCTTACTTTGCTTACACCAGTGAAGGCAAGGATACTCTAGCAGTTCAGACCCAAACACTTGAGGATTTCCTGTGGAAATTCAAGTAGAAGTTGTCATAGGGGTTTACATGATACCCTGACATTAGGTCTATAGAAGCTGTTTCATCCTTCCAACTGAAATTTGAGTCCAGAAAAAAAATTGATGTAAGGGAACTTTAAATAACTAACACTCATGAGATCATGAGATGTTGCTCCAAAATTCTGAGACAAAACATGAACTTGGGGTTTAGTTAGGAAAGTAAAGCCATAGGAATTAATGTATCACACCCTGCCAGCTCTGGAATGTCAGTTACTCCTTATGCCTTCTCCTATCCTGCCCTACCTGCCAGTACAATACTTCACAACTGCTAAGACTGTCGAAGTGAAAGGATTCTGCTAGAGGAAAGAGATGAAATCTTTGATTTTTACCCCCAAGAATTTTAAAATGATCAATGTTGGTGAAAATATTGTGAGTTACAAGTTGGTTCCCTAATGAAGACTGTCCTTGTTTATTTTTCCTTTTTCAAGTGCTAGGAATTTAAACCAAAGCATTTGTAACTTGCTCTATTCCTAACCCTGTATTGTTTTAAAACAAGTGTATTTTGGGACAAGATCTCTCTATATCACTAAGTTCCCCAGGCTGGACTTCACCTTAGAATCATCCTACATGCTCATCAAAGACAGCTCTACTTAGAGGGTAACACTAAGTCTTTGAAGTGGAAAAAATTGTGTCAGAAAGATATGAGTCCCAAATGGCAGAGTTTATTTCATTACTATATAGGAAATGTCTCATAGTTTGTTCTTCATTTTAACTTTAGTTGGACTCTTAGTCACTTTGTTAAGACTAAGTATGCCCAAAGCCGGGCATGGTGGCTCATGCTTGTAATCCCAATACTCGGGAGGCTGAGGCAGGAGGATCCATGTGAGTTCCAGATCAGCCTGGGCTACAAAGTGAACTCAAGGACAGCTTGAAATGTATAGCATGAGACCCTGTCTCAAACAACACAAAAGAAAAACAGAAGACTAAGTAAGCCCAATATACATGCCTTTGTAACATTTTGGAACTATAACACTCATTAAAGGATGAATACATGTACAAGTTACACCTTTAAATGCAAAGCACATAAGTATTTATGAAAACTTACACTGTACTTGATGGTATAAAGTAACATTATGACTGATTTTACCAAAAAAATTAAAATGTAATGTATTGCAAATATGTACTAATGAAAAAGGAAGAGTATCAATAGGACCTTTGTATAGTTCTTCATGATTTACATGTTCTCCTTTGCTATACATCACACTTGACCCTTCCTAATACAAAGAAAACTCTGTACATTCTCTGTATTGTAGATTAAGAAACAAAGTTAGGAAATGACTGAGTGCTTCTAGCTACCTCCTAGTTCAGATAGACATGGATATGGTACATATGCCAAATTCAATCTTTGCAGGGGAAAGAAAACTTTCCAGAATGCATCTTATATTGTATTCATAATGTAGACCTGTCTCTTAGACCTTACTCTCATCGTACTTAGTTTCATTTAGGTTTTGCAAAACTCAGAGACAACAGTTACATTTCTGTGTCATTTGTGTACATTCATCTTAATGGATAAGAACAAAAGTAAAGTTTAAAACAATAGCCTAAATTTTCTTCTGAAGTCAAAGTGCTTGTTCTAGGAACTCAGTTGAAGGTGAGAATGCTGTGAATATTAGGGGAAGCTGGCAAGAGGGCAGGGGAGGGTAGGAGAATGATAAGCAGCACTGAGTCTGAAATACTGAAAAATACTTTGAGCATAAAGCCTGTTGTATGGTATTTGTTTAAATTTCCTTTCTATTTGTGTTTTATAATTGAATGCTTAGGGTCAGGGAAATGGCTCACTAAGGCACTTGTGTAGCATGCAGAGAGCACAGCTGGATCCTCAGAAGTGCAAGAAGGGTAGTGTTTTGGCACTGTGTACAGTGACCAAAATCCTGGGTTATTTGACTTCAGTTTGCATAGATAGGAACAGCACCAGATCCGACAACAAATGTAAAAGATAGGTACACTGGAAATCTGCTTTTTATCTTTATTTCAGGTAATTTCATATCAATTTCCCTGTTAAAGTTCAAAATGCCGACTAAATTTTTTTTAATTAAATTAAACAGTTTTATGGATGGGTTTTTTTTTTGTTCGCTTGTCAATTATTTGAGAATAACATTTCTTCAAGTCATTTAAGAACCTAGTGTAGATCTCAGCTATACGCAAAATGATCTTTGTATTACTTTACATTTAGCAAGTTAAGTTGACCTATCACATATTCACAGATACCTTATGATTTGGCAAACCTTTAAAATGTAATCACATACAATTCCATTAAATGTTAGTTTCTGGGGACACAGATAAAAATATTTTGGTTAATCATGACTTATACTGTCTTATTATAAAATTCAAATGGTATATTTTGTCTTATAATTTGAGTCTATAGGATGAATTATTTTCTAGGGAAAGCATTTCAGTATTAAATATTCCCATGGCAAAATAAAGTTAACTTTTATTTTTTCATCAGCATTAGAATCACTCTTCTGGACACTTGTCATTCTTTATGGCCTATTTCACACCTACATCTGAATAGCTATATTCTAAGACACCTACGACTTAATGATCTTAAGTGACAAAGCAAGAAACAGCGTTAGAAGAAATCTTAGAAGAAATGGTAAAGCTTGGAAAAAATATCTAGTTTTGAGGACACTGAAACAAATGTCTATTGAAGAGCCTATCAGTGTTCAGTACAGAGCAGATAGTGCTGTACAGACAGCCCCATCCTAACCCTAATCCTTATAGTCTGGAGGGGACAATGATAGACAGTATTTGTATAATTTAAAAGTCAGGTGGCAAGGTGAGGAGACAAAGTGAAATTGGATAGTAGTTGTGGTGGGAGGCCACTTTTTACCAGGGCAATGGAAGATGCCTGTTTTATTTAAATGATATCTAAGCAGCCCTAAGTGTGAGAATGACCTGAGTTGGGCAATGCTTCCATGGAGAGGGATAGCCCCCTCTTTTTTGATATCCTTAAATGGGAACAAATTCAGTAGACGAAGACATAAAACATGAGGGCAGCTTCAGGACAGCAAACGACATCACAAGAAGAACTTGTGGTTCAAAGTCTTTATATGCCTAATGGGGTTTGACAAAGACTATTACGGACTTTAGTTGTCACAGGAAACCACAGGAAGATTATTGGCATAGGAAGCTCTCTTTTTTGTTGTTGTTGTTGTTATACAAATAATTATTTTGTTTATTTAAAAGGAAAAGAGAAAACACAAACAAAAAAGTGGTATAAGTTTACAAGTAATACAGAACTACAAATCAAAATACGAAATCACCAGTTAGCAGATTACACATTATCATGTTAGAGATAGTTGCTCAAGTCACAGTCAAGGCCCTCAAAGTGGACATTCAAACAGAGAGACTGCAAACAGTTGTGTTCAATGATTCAACCAAAAACATTAATATGGTCAACTATTTAACACTCCTAAACACACTTGCAGTTGTATACTTTAGAGCACTTTTTTCCCCCTCTCTTTTTACAACAAAATTTAATGTTTTGGGTTTTATTACTCCTTAGCTCTTATTACTTTTATTTTTTGGAAGAGAATAAAGTCAAATATGGCAAGACAAAGCTGTCAGTCAAAACCAACGATAGACATAGTACATGATGTAAAAACAGAGTACAAGGTTATCAACAATGGTTACCATAATGCTTCTTAAAAAATTGTCTATCTCCTTAGGTATTATAAAGCTGAACAAAGCAGTACAGAACAAGAACAATAAAACTTAACATTGTAAACTTTACAGGACTTCCAAAGGAGATAGTAGTGAGAACAGAATCGGCATCTTAGTGAATCTTATTCCCTTCAAAGTAGTTGCCTATACCCTCAAACTATACTATCATACAGAACGGAGCAGAGTCTAATCAGTCAAAACAAGATAGTGGCAGTATTACAGGACTTCAAATCCAGTTAATAGAAAATCAATAAAGTTACTATTATATATCCTGCTAATTTTAACTTATCCTCATAATTTAAAAAATCATACAAAATAACTAAATAATTTTTCAATGAATAAGGGAGAGATTGAGATAAAAGAGGACATAACAACATAATAATACAGGTCAAATCATAACTGTTTCAGCAACCTACTGCTTCACCATCAAATAACCCGACTTAATAGTAGTTACCATAGTGTGTCTTTTTCCTTGAAATATTATAACTTTATATACTATAGAGGAAGCTCTCTTTTAAAGAAAAATAGCAAACTACCTGTAAATTCAGATATAAGATGTGTAGAAATGGACTTTAAAATATGACATACGTGTTGCCTTAAAGCTACCTTGTTTTCTCATCCAACTCCCAGAGTATTAAAATATTTAAGCTAGTCATGTAATAATAAAGAAGTGATCATTTACAACAATTCAAAGAAATTCAGCAAAGCATTCCTAAGTAATACATAAGTAGAAAGAGGATTAATACAATATACGAATGTCACATCTCAGTCCCAATCAGTAAAACACGGACTGAGGATTAAACAGTTAGGGAAGGACTGAAAATGGATGGAGAAGCTGATTCAGAGTGCAGATCAGCAGAAACTACAACAGAGAAGTCAGGTGGGAGTGAGCACTGAGCAGCAGTATGCAGGAGCCCTGCTTCCTGTGATGTACCCTCTGATCAGCACAACCAGCTCCAGGCAGTGGAATGTGGATGCCAACAAAACCAACATGCTGCATAGAAATTATGAATCTACAATTGTTGTGTTTTGGATCTTAAAATGAATATAATTCATAGCAAAAGAATATAGGACTGGCCAGTGATTTATCTCAGTGGTATAAGCACCTGCCTTGCAAGCACATGGTCATGAGTTCATGGTTTGGTTCCTGGGTACCAAAAGAAAAAAATAAAAGATTAATAGATCAACTGGGTAAATGCTGCAACCTTCAAATCAGCAAGTACACAGCAGTTGGCACAGAAACTGTGAATATCTTCTATTTAAATGGTATTTATTGAAATCAGTGTCTTTTTCTAGTTCTGCTTTATTCCTGCACTGTTGATCATTGTTTTTTCTCTTTATTATTTGGATGAGAAACATTAATTCTTGACAGTTTCCAGTTTTATTACTCCTTAGCTCTTATTACTTTTAATTTTTGGAAGAGGATAAAGTCAAATATGGCAAGACAATGGTGCATAATTTTAATATTTTAGTAGTGCATTTCATATATTCCAAGTCACATGTGCGACTTTCTGTTTTTAATAGTTCTTCAATTGAGATGGATGTCTCCATTGATAGTATCTCAGACATTAACAAAAGCAATATTACATATCAGTTATGTTTTATAGATTTATTTCTCTCACAGATGTTCACATGTAGACTTGAGTTAAATTTTTAAAACTGTATTTCACCTATAACAAACCACTGTGCTGTGAAGTTTAAATTTGAAACTCGTAATATAAAATTGGTGGATATTCGAAAAGAGTTTTAATCATAATCTCTAGTTATAGTTTGAAATATTTGTATATATTTCTAAAAATCTTTAAAGCATTTGTATAAGTTTCACGGTACTCAAAGTTTGCATTTTCTTGACATCTGTTTTAAGTTGTATGTACGCAGGTGTGTGTGTCTGTGTGTGTCTCTGTATGTGTGTTTACGGTCCCGAATGATTTGCTTTATCTCTGGTAGTTACACAATCATGATAATGAAAGAAGAGCAATGTGATATGGTTAGTGTCCCTTTTGGCTCTTGGAAATAGTTAATAGACAGTAGAGTATTCATACAGTTCTTATCAGTTTACTTTCTAGTAACATAAATGTCTATTGGATAAAATGGCAACACATGATGTTTACTATTAGCAGAAAGAGCAAGCAGTATACTATAGAAAACTGTGGTGGGCACACGATAAACTAGTACTTCCTGAAAACTGTGCAATGACAATGTTCAAAGTAATGGATACATTGCCTAACATACATAAAACTGATGTGAAAATAACCAGTGTGAAAATTCCAATACTAAGCATGGGACAGTAGTCAAACTGTCATCAGATATTTGTAAATTAAAGGCACAGTAATGTTTCTCGTGCACATTCACAGGATTTTAACAAAACAAATCTGGGCTTGGAGTTCAAACCATATCATTGGTACTACCGGACCCTAAAGTGCCCTTATGCCTTTTCAAAAGCAATTAGCTCTGTACATTCAACTAAGAAATCCACTCCTTTTTGTGTATTCCCTGCATCTTTTAAAATCTTTCCTAATTAGAAAAAGATGATTTCTTTTAAAATACTATCTAGAAAAAAAGAAAATACTATGTACATGAATATTTTTCTCATAATAAATTCAAATTTTATGAGTGACTAAATCTTCAACCAATAAGAGATTGGCTACATAAAGTACACAATACCTTGCTGCATTGTTATGGTATCAAAAGAGCAAATATTCTCAAAGGGCTGATCATTTTGTGGTAATAAAATATGCAATGAATTGTATATTGATGTTATTTTTTCTCTTTTAATTGTTCTGGAGATCAAATCCAGACCTCTGTGCTTGCAAGGTATGTTTTTCACAACTGAGTTATGTTTCTGAGCCCAAGAGCTATTTGTAAAACATGCATAATCAAAGCAACTAAAACAAATGGGGAGGGTATGTTGATAATTTTTAAACACAGTAGTTTGGCATTTACAAATTGCTGTTCATAATATCTGTTAAATGAGTCAATGACTCTTGTAGGTCCCCACCTTGAGTGTGATCATCAATAGAGCTGATTAACAAGCACCCTTAAAAATTACAAATTAAAGAAAATCTATTCCAAAAATAGACTTGCATAACCAGGTAGTTCATACAGGTTGATCATGTACAACTAGACCCAGGAAGTAACCCTTCTCAAAAGCCCATGTCAGTTCTCCTTCCCTCTGTCCATCTCTTCTGCCAAACATTTACTATTCCTGATGGCAGAGGTCACCACTAGCAGCTGCCAGTTAGCTAGATAACAGTCCTAGTGTCTTTCTCCTCTGGTTGTTGGGAGGACTCAAGAGAGTTGTGATGCACTGACCAACCCTGCCTCATATGCCTATTCTATTGCTCTAGAGAGGGTGCAAGCCTTTCCCTTGGGCTGGTTTCTTTTATTTTTGCACATTCTCTTTATTTTAAATACCAAACTTCTTGAATTTTGTCTTCAGATACATAGTCTTGGAGACAAAGACAGAGGCAGAGAAATAGAGAAAGACAGAGAGAGAGAGACAGAGTGTGTGTGTGGGGGGGTTTAAAATGATTCATCTGATTTTGATACTTAGTTTTTCTGGACTACATTCAAAACCTGTCATTACAAAGGTGCCAATACCTAATATAGCTCTTTCTATTACTTATTTTTAATAGTAAAAATTTCTATGAATTATATTTAGAAATTCAAATGTGCTCCTATTGGTTTTTAGTAGGACGTGGTAGTAAAGTTCTCAGAAGCTTTACAATACAGATGGCCATGTAAGTCTGTACCTGTCACCTTGTGCATAAAGTGATTTTATTTTTCCACATAATGAAGATTGTCACATCTTCTAAATGACATGCAAAAATTCATGTATTCTTTAGGAGTTCTTATATAAGAATTATTTTACTAAACTTGATTGAGGAATTACCTTGAAGAATAAAGAATCGTTTTAATAAGTTACTAGTGATGTCATTGTACCTTTAAAATCAATTATTCAAATTATTGTTAAATCAGAAAGATCAATATTATATTTATATCCAAAATTCTAACCATAGTACTCAGAAGGGGTAAAAGTAGTATTCAAAAGAAGGTAAATTTGTGAAGTGCTGAGTTAGACAGTAGTCACTAACAGACTGAAGATTTTTTTAATATATCAGTGCCCATTTTGAATTTTGCAAGGCCAAGGATATAGAGAAGAGTGTGACTGGACCACTAAACACTCTAAAGTAGAATAATTAATAATGTGTGCTTAAGGAAATATTGCTTAACCACTAGTTTATTTGAATATTGGTACAGTTTGTTACAAAACTGTTTAAGTAGCCTGAGATTTTTGAGGACAGTCACAGCATACCCCATAATGAAGTTTATTATTTCTTATAATAGCAAATTATATATTATTGAAGTTGAAGACTCTGTTTTCTAGTATCTTCTAAAGAGAAGACTTTCCCAATCTAGTTCTAAGGTGGAAATCTGGGCAGAAAGAAGAATCAAAAATCTATATACATGGACAAGTTTCTTAAAAAACAGTTTTTCTCAGGAAGGTGATTACAGATTAGCACATTGGATTTTAATCCTAGATCTTCCATCATTTATAGTCTCCTAAAAGCACAGCTATCAAAATCAGTTGGTTTGTTGAATGCAGCTAGAAATAGCCATGTGATTCATGGTCTAAAGAATTTTGATGTTTTTAAATATTTGTCACATTGAACTGGTATCTAACAGTGCATCCACGATGCGAGAGCAAGTGTTTGTTACTCAAAACCGTTCCTGAAATATGCCAGTAATACCAGCAGAGAAGGCCATCGTAGGCCATATATTCATCTTAAAGTGCACTTGGTTCATGGAAAAGCTACATTACATTATTTAGGTAAAATTTTAGAATAATAAGTCTAAGATATAGCCTGTTTTATTCTGTATGTGAAAAGGGATTCTACAATTTTACAGTTCTCTGGGAGAATCCTTATATTGTTCCCTTCATCTTATTTCATTCACATTCATAACTAAAAACATTTTACAATGCTGTTAACATGATTTAAAGGTATTGGGAAGCTGTTTTCAAAACTATCTACATTTCTACGGAATGAATTCATGACATTTTTTTCTTTTTCTCTGTAGAAGGAGCTTCAAAATTAAACCCTTCTGATGATCCAAAAATAGGCACAATTTTCCTGAGCAAATCTCAAACATATGGTAAGACTACGTTTCCCCATCAATGATAAGGCTGAAAACTATTGTCATTTTATGTGGTTCATACATTATACAAATATTTACAAGAACTTACGTATTGGATTCAGTTTTTCAATTTTTTAAATGTGCATTTTACTTTTAATATCTGATTATATATTTTCTTTTAATGTCACTCTAAACTTGAGAGCTTGTCTACTCTCTGTTAAAACATTTTGCTGCCTCTGTATCACTACAGCAGACCACATGATTAAGGAAGGGGTCATGGATTTAAACTTATTTTTCTGTATTATTTTGTTCTTTCCCCTTGCTCCCAGGAAATGTTTTAAGGAGAAATAATAAAACTTAGTTTACACTTAGATTATCTTGTCATCATATTTTAAAAATCATAGATCCAGATATGCAGATAGGTATATATGTGGATATAGCCAACGAGTCATACTGAGTCATCCCTTCGATCTCACTGTTACAGGGCTATAATCCAGTGAGCCTACCTCACACCAGATTTAGGACTTATGGTATTCTCAGAAATTTTGAGTTAGCAAAAATGTTTTTATTCTATGAAGAAAATCTGTGTAAACATACTCTGACATTTCCTAAGGGATAAGGCAATGTGTGCAACTACTGTAATTCATTGTGTCCTGCTTACTCCAGAGTGAGGATCAGATTTGCCGGACTTTGTGAAACCTAACTTCTCTTCTTCATGTTTGGATAAATTGCCATTGTCATTGTTGTTGCTGTCGTTTTATTGTGTTGTTAAAGGTCTGATATATAATAAAATTTTCCAGTTGATTACAAGAGTAAGAATTTAAGGAATGAAACCCCTGTAATACTTGGAAAAATACAGCACAATGAAAAATGGGGATTGTTATCTACATTTCCACTTCTGTACAATTTTCTTTTTGAGCTGGTCATTTCTGGTTAGCATTGCTATGTTTTTCCATTTCTTCAGGAGATATATGTGCCTCTCACATGTAGAGTGTGGGATAAAATACAAACAGATCAGCACTCCTCTCTTCAGGGGAAAGGAATATGCAGGTGTCTAGCTTTAGAGGAAACAGGATGGGAAATGCTGCGGTGGCCCATGTAACTCTGGAGTGTTTGCTTTATGTATTTCATTAGGCCAGAATGAATTGTGTGCTATTGAGAGGGTGTTCAGTTAGGTTAGCACATTCATTTCAAGGTCGATATTTCAGGTGGATTAATTTACAGTTGTCTAAAGAATCACTAATATTTTTAGTAACATCTGCATTAACTTAGTAGGTTATGAATTCTAGAGCAGAAAGAGAATAGTGAGTGCCTAACCAGAAACTTGTTCATAGAGCCGTCTGCTATTAGATATTTGTAATTAAGCTATAAAGCAATATACAATTACAAAGTACTGGGTATTTACTCAGGAAAGTCTGGTAAAAGGAGAGACATGAAATAAGTTGACTTTTTTCTATTAGCTAATGTTGATCTAGGATCCAGTTTTACAATTTTCTTTCATGTAAGGACAGTCTGTCATTTTTTAGGGTAAACAGAAGGTATAAATAAATATTTGGTTCTTTATCAAACTTGTCTTGGCAGATAATTGCCTCATTTTGGTACCCAGTTCTAACTCACTACCTTGTGGTGCCAGGGAGGCACTGTGCCACTGAGCTATATTCCCAGCACTAGATGATTTACTTTTAAAAGTAAAATATTCATTTTGTATATTCTGTATATTTATAATCCATCAGATATTTTGTAGCCAGTTCAATGTACTTTTCTAAGGCATATGTATTACAATAGTTTAACTAGGTTTATTTGTTTTTCTTATTCTTAGTGCATGACCAGAGGAACAACACCCATCTCAAGCATGTAAGTAAATCGTTGATAAGAAATTGAGTAAATCTAATTGTTTCTGCCATGATTTCTAAACAAATACAATGAGGAGCCAGTCTGTTACCATAGACTTCCTTTTCTGCATTTTTCAGGTATCTTGTATTTTCCTGAGATGTTTTAAATTTACTTCACAAAGTCTTTGAGTTAGTAATTTCCATTTTTAAGGGTTTCTGATATTTAAGTTCCATTGTGGTAATATGGGCACAGTGTTAAAGGTTTGTATGAGATATTTGGCTTTAATTGTTAATCTTTTTAAAAATCAAAATAAACTATTTAACACATCAGTCTTTAGCACTGTCCGTTGTTTTTCCATCATAACAGGTGAATGCTTAGCTTCCTCTTTCTGCCTTGACTTTATTCTCCCCAATTTCCTTCAGATGCATCATACAGTTTTATTTTTATTTTTTACATTTATTTAGATCATATATTTTAAACTAAATAACTAATTATCATTTATGACTACTGTTTACTGCTAGGTTATGTAATAACAGTCACACTGTTCTGCCTCTTTGTACAATTTAATTCTTTGTCTAAAGTATTTCTGAAATGTACACAGCTCTGCACTGCTGCTGGATGATCCCTAAGGAGCATTAGTTCACAAAAGCAAGTCAGATAAGTAACCGAGGGCTCTTTCTGTTTTCGCGTTCTTCCTCTTTGAGGGAGGTCAATTTTCTATTCTTAATGGGACAGTTTTCCTAACAACAATCCCACAATGCTGTAACATTAGTCACATGCCTGCCAGGACATTGTTCACATTCGAACACAACCTTGCTTCCGTTTTCTCCCAGAGACCGCCCTCACAGGCTTTCCTACCTGAGAGGGACAGGCTTGTCCTTAGGCCTGCTGCTTCACTTTCCCTGGAATAGCTCCTTGAAGTCTGTCTTCCACAGGGCTCTGTGCGTGTGTCCTCACTGTCCGAGATTCTTTTGTTTCCTCTGTCTTGTGCTCCCCTGTTCTACTGGAAAACTTTCTCCTGTGAAAGGGCATGTGGATAATTTTAAGGAGCCAGACTGTAAAGGAAAATATAGTTGCTAATAAAACCTAGATTTGCAGGTTGATGCCAGTTTTCACAAAGCTCTTCTCATTTCTAGTGTTGCTCTTAACTCCGTTGTCCCCATATTATATACCTCATAAATAACCAGCTATAGCCACTCCCCCTTCTCTGGAAGCTTTTAAAGGCTTCTCTATCTTAGGGATGCTGAAAGAACACAAGGCTTTGTTATTGACTTTTTCATCTCATTGGAGTGGTCTTTAAAGTCTGAAAACTCCCTCTTCTTTTAAAGTCCTTGATATTTTCTCTAGTTTTTCTTATACTTTGTTTATTCAAATATTGTGTTTTTCAGACTCGTACTTCTTCACTAAGGTCAAATTTCCATCCTCTTTCCATTTTCTACTTTTTCCTTTGCCTCTGATTAAACATTAGTTATTCCTTAAATTGAAATTTTTCAACCTGGTATTGAAATACTTTTAAACTTCTAATTTGCTCCTGAATTTCTAGCACTCCCACAAATTCCTTTGTTCCTGTTACAATGATCTCTCTTGTCAGAGGATTCCCTGAAATACATCGGTGACCCTGGCATTCCCTGGACTGAAATATTGTATGTGAGCAAAACTTTCATTTAACTAGTGGGCACCACAGTGAGACTTTGGCAGTGAAATCAGGTTTTCCTTCACAGGGCTTTGGGCAACGACTAGGGGCCAAATCTCTTGGACAGCCTGATATCAGAGAAAACCTCCTCACCCTCTACCTGAGGAATACAATCAAAGCTGCCTGCTTTCCAGAAACTGTTCATCATACAGTGTTTCCTCCACTAATGTCTAGGTCTCAGCCATGATGTACTTGATATCTCTAAGGTTTAATGTCTATAGAATATAATATCTGCATAGTACCTGCAGAGATGGAGGACAGGTGTACAATGGCTCTACATTCATTTCCTATGGTTTTTCATGGCCTCTGCTTCACATTTTATGCCAAAGTGCTCTGTGCCTCTGAGTGTCCTAATATTTTGCCATGTGAGTTAACAGTATTTACCTTACAGTTTTCACACATCAAAAACTATGTCCTTTTGGGCTCCAGGTCTCATGTGTAACATTTATTTTATCCTTTAATTCAAATAATATTTCAGGAGCAAGTTGAACTAGCTGCATGTTCAATCAATCCACCATTTTAAACTTAATTAAAACTTGCAGTTCAAGTGTAAGTGTGTCTTAGTTACCTATTTATTGCTGGGACAAAATACTCAACACCCACAAGTTAAACGAGGTAAGGTGTCTTTTAGCTCACATTTTGTAGAAGTTTGAGTCCACAGTCATCTGGCTCCAAAGCAAGAAGTCATGGCAGAGGAACCTGAGAGCGGACATACACTGCATGGAATGGCAGGTAAGAAGCAGCAAGACTTCTTCCTCCTTTCAGTTTTTATTTCATTCAGGCATAAGCCTCTCGGTTTGTGGCACCTCTCGGGTGCCACAAACCCAGGTGCATCTTCTCTCTCCACTAAGCCCAGCATTCACACCCAGAACTATGCTAATTATCCACACAGAACTGTGCTAAACCGTTCAGTGAACTAATTCAATATCACACACCCATGATTCAGTGACCTCCTCAGAAGTCTCTAGACGATAAGCACTAGAGGGTTTGAAGAAACGTCTAGTGTAAGCAATAACCAAATGTATTTAAATTAAATACATATAATGCTATTAATTTGGACCCTTAAAAGTATGTATCTCCAATAGATTAAGGATTCCTTTAACTTGTAGATGTCAGGTGATTTCTCCCAGTGAAGAGAAAGTAACTAACACAGAGTTTGGTGCTGGTGGTGGGGTTATTGCTGTGCTGCTGCTACCTGACCATATGGTTCAGAAGCCTTTATAAGTGGCATGTAAGATCATTTGGAAAGGTCTAGAGACACTAGCTGTGTATTTTTTTATTAAAAGTGAAAAAAAACCAGTTTCAAAACTCGCTAGTGGGAGAGTAATAGGAAATGTAAAATGTATGTTTGTGTGTGTGTGTGTTACATTTGCAGAAAATTAGTTTGCATTTTGCTCATATTCAAAGGCTTTGTCAAAGGCTGAAATTAAATTAACCTGGTTGAAGAAATTTCATGGCAGTTCAATGTTAAGGTAGTGGCATGGTTACTGTTGAGGGCTTTCATCCAGATCTATGTTGAGAGCAAATGGCCCAAAAGAATATTTAAAATGTTTTGAGTTTGTCCAGAAAGAAAGCGCCAGTAAAGCCATGTCTTGCAAACATGGAAAGACAATTTGCTTGCTGAAAGATTACCACTAAAAAGCCAAACATTGTGGAGGAGTATAATAGAAAAGATGGTCTGAAGGTTTCACAAGAACCAGCAACACTCCACTGCCAATGCAAATGCCCTCTAGAAAGATTCTAAGGTCACAGGGATTCCAACCCACAGTTCCTTGATCAGTGACTATTTCCACTCTGTGTCTTCCATTATCACTGTAATGGTAGTGTCACAACATTCTGCTTTAGTGTTCATTTGCCAAAACTGTCACTGATTGTCAGTGTGGTGACAGATCCCCTCATTATCTCATTGCTCAGCGGTGAGATTATTTTGAGAGGATAATTCAGTGTCTGGATATCTAAGACTTTTAGGGTTACTTGGACAACTGTGTAAGATTGTTTGCATGTCTTCTGTCTTTCTGGTTGCACACTGTTACGTGGTTCTGGCTGACTTGTGCACACAAAATACACACAGACACACACATGTGCCATGACATCTCATCTGGATAGGCTTTTTATAAAACTAAAAATAGATGAAAGTTCTTGAAATACTTACGAGGAAGGTTGGTGGAGCATGTGGATGTAGCTCTAATGGTTGAGATTTGTCAGGGGAAACCTACATAATTCAACATATTAATATATTTTAGTGTGGCAGCACAGGAAGAAAATTGGGACAGTCTGAGCTGGACAAAGTGAACTAAAGAGGAAGAAAAATGATGCATGAATATACTTTGTAAATGTCACATTAATTTATAAAATATGATTTATTTTTATTATTGCACACAGACTTCCACATTTTTAGTTTTTGACAAAAGAGGTATCACTTTGGTCTTTTTTTCTCAGATGTTCAGCAGGCTCTGTAATTACCAAAACGATCAGCTTTGGTAGTATAAGTATTTTTGTCTTCCTAACTTTGTTGTTAAGTGTGAATTCATGAATCTGTTTGAAACTTTATGGTAATGGACTACTCCTACTCATTTACAGCAAAGAATAATTGCTTTCCATTTCATGAGTGAAGTTGTTTTCAAGGTTAAGTGATTGACATTACTGCATATTAGATAAGTGTATGTCAAAAAATAATCTCTGTTACAGGATATATTGTGTGTACTGTAGGTATACATAAGCCAGAATGATAGACATTTAGTGTGGTAACATTTTTTTCTTTTAAATTTTATGATTAAGCATCACTTAGAAATGTTAGTGAATTTTTTTGCTATTCTAGTTATCTTTAAAAATGGGAAAATGGGGCATGGACAGTTTCATTCTTAAATTCTTGACCCGAATTCAGCTGTTGACCAATTGTAATCACCCAGATGTGCTGTGTGTTGTTGGTATCACCAGACAGGTTGTCTAACCATCTCAGAATGGTCATATAGGTATACAAAATGGGTCATGCTTTAAGGTCTTTCCCATGCTGAGGAAAAAATTAAATATGCTCAATCTCTTACACTGTCACTGGAACACTTTCCGAGAAATGTTTTATGATGCAGCTGTTGGCAGATGTATTCCAGAATGTAGATGGGATCAAATCTGTAGGACATGAACACCGAAAAATGCTTCTCAGGCAGCGAACAGCATGAATGAGGCAGAAATGTGTCCTGATAAGTGTCAGATAGCTTTAGAGAATTACATGTAATCTTGAGTGTCTGAGGCTTTCCACAAAGTGATGTAATGGAAATCCACCCAGAAAATAACTGTATGTTCAATTGTCAAAGTTGTTCTTGTCCTGTAT